AAAATTTCAAAACTATTAAATTTATTCTTTTCCTTGAACAATTTTGAGTTACATCTTTGTTGCACCAAGGCCTTACATTAAGCAAAAAATAAATTCAAAAAAATAAAAATAAAAAAAGAATAGCCTTATTATTTATGGTTCCAAACAAATAGCAAACTAAAGCCAAATAAACCTTGATTGATTTGACAAAAAAGACAAACATCATAACAGAATAGTTTACAAGTTTAATAGTATTTATTAAGTCAAATATTATCATATATAGGTACTTGATATACTTTTTTCTACTTATGATGCATGACCGTAGTTTTAAGCCTTCCAATATTTTCTAATTTTGTAGTTTTTTACATATGTTTTTGCTAAATGGTTGTGTGAGAATCTTTTATAAAGTTTTGCATTTTTGAAAGAATAAGTTTTTCAAAAAATTCTGAGATTTAAATTTTTGAAAGATTATCAAATAACTTAAAACATTTTGAAAATTATCAAATTGGTTTCCATTTATTAAATTATCAAGTTGGTTTCCATTTATTAAATTATCAAGTTGGTTTCCATTTATTAAATTATCAAGTTGGTTTCCATTTATTAAGTTTTTAAATACTTTTGCATGTTTGAAAGATTATCAAATAGGTTTACATTTTCATAATGCTATTAGGTAATTGCATGAAGAGCTTTATTTCAAAAACTTTTAATGATTTTTAGTTTTATTTAAATATATTTGAAATTTTTTAATTCTATATAATAATTATTACTATACATAAATATTCATATATAATAATAAAAAGTATTTATAATAAAAGCTAGTAATAGAATTTATTAAATTTACATATATTTTTGTTATTAATTAATTTGTTATTTATTACTAAGTTTTCGTTGATTCAAATATTTGTTTTTAGGGTTCTTTTCCTCTGACTTATACATTTCGAAGTAGAGACCAGGTTAAATGAATATTTTAAATATTTAATTTTAAACCAATTAAAATCATTTTTTAATGTATTTTAATTTTATTTGTATACTTTTATTACACAGTTTAAAGAAATTTTTTATTTCAACAGTTTAATGAAGACAAGATTTATCGCCATCTGGAACCTGCATTAGCATTTCAACTAGAATTAAATAGAATGTCTGCATTTAATCTTAAACCAATACCTTGCACAAATCATAATCTGCACCTTTATTATGGTTCAGCCAAAAAGGTAAAAACTTATAATTGTTAATCTCTCAAAACTTTATTTGGGCTATACTTTAAGATTAATTACCATACCCCATTATTTATATTTATTACCATACTCCATTATTTATATTGTAGAAGTTATTTAATCTAAAATTTTATCTGAAGCTATCGGCAGAATAATAATTCTTTATTGTTTTCAGGCAAGAGATGACCAAGAAGTTACTGATTACCGTTTCTTTATTCGTTCAATAGTTCGACATTCTGATTTTGTAACCAAGGTGATTCATTTATTTAATTCTATTTTACTTTAATTACTGTTTCATTAACCATTAAATTTTTTGATGCAATTTTTTTTCAAATATCAGGAAGCATCATTTGACTATTTGGAAAAAGCCAGTGAAATTCAACTTCTTGAAGCTTTGGATGAGTTAGAACTTGTCTTAAGTAAAGTAGTATGTAATTTTTGTTTTTAACGTAGTATGTAACATTTGTAATACTAAAAGGGTTTCCAATTCTTTTAAGACTTCTAAATGTTTTCCAATTTTTGTGTTTCATATGTAATTGCTTTATTGATTAGAGGTTAGAAGTATATTTTCTTCCTATAGTGCTGACTTTAATGTGTTAAAACGACATTGAAAAAGTTAAACAAAAAATATATTATTTTATTTTGTTATACATTTGATTTACTTAGAACATTGTTTAAATTTTTTTTTTCTTGCAAATATTAATTCTAATTTATATTTCTAAAAATTAAAGGAACATCGTACTGATGGAAATCATGTATTTTTAAATTTTGTACCAACTGTTATTATAGAGCCTCATAAGGTTAGCTTTTTAATAATTTCTGATTTTTAAATTTCTTTTCTAGTTTTTTTATTATTATTATTAAATTTTCTTTATATTGCTTAATTAATTTCATTAAAAAAAAAATTCAAAACTTTTGGTTTTGATTAGTTTAGTAAAAGCATGAATGTACTAGTAAATAAATGAGCGTTTTTAGCAATCATTTACTTTTATAAATTTTATTTATTTGGAGAAGTGAGTTTAAACCGGGGCAATAAGGAATCAAGAAATCATATATTAGATTTGACTTTTTTTTTTAATTAATGTTTAAAAATAATAATAATTTATTATATGTATATATTGTTGTTACATTTTGTAGAAGATAGTTGTTCAATAATATATGTTGTTATTAAATTTTGTAGATTGAAGATAGTATTCGGACTATTGTTTTGCGACATGGTCTTCGTCTTTGGAAATTGCGTGTTTTAAAAGCAGAGTGTAAAATGATAGTAAGGTAAGACTGATTGTTTTGATTTTTATATAACTTATATTGCCTGTTTAGGTAAGTAAAATGTCTGACTAAATATGGGTATATATATATGTATATATATATATATATATATATATATATATATATATATATATATACACATACATATATATATATGTATATATATATATATATATATATATATATATATATATATATATATATATATATATACACTCATACATGTATATATATAAATATATTCAAGTCATACATACATACACATATATATATATATATATATATATATATATATATATATATATATATATATATATATATATATATATATATATATATATATATATATATATATATATATATATATATATATATATATGAAGATTTAGATCAAAACGAAACAAACTATACTACTACAGCAAACAGTTCAGGAGTCATGAGTCATAGCATGCCATGACATGAGCAATCAGCTGACAGGTGACAGCACACAGGCAGAATTTCGCTGACAAGTGCCATTTTGTAGTGGACAAAACAAGTGCAACTTTTTTGGTTTGTTTCATTTTCTTAAGTCTGGTCTGTGTCAAAGTCACGGAAGTTTTTTAATAATTAAAGGAAGTATCCAGAAGTTTCCAAAAGCATGCAGAAGCTTCCAGAAGTTTCTAGAAGAAGCATCTGGAAGCATTCAGAAGCATCCAGAAGTATCCAGAAATATTCAGAAGCTTCCAGACGCATCCAGAAGCTTCAAGAAGCATCAAAAAGAAGCATCTAGAATCTTCCAGAACAGGTTCACACAGGTTCACACAGATTCATTTTACTATATAAGAGACATGTAAACCGACATGTAATTCAGTCAGTATATGGAAGTCAATCAGTCAGTATTATTAAGACAGTTTATCGAAGTGAGTTTTATCAAAGTGTTTTATCGAAGAACATCAATATAAGAAGTGAAATACAACAAGTGTTTCATTACATCAAAACAGTCAACATCCAACCAAGGCGTTGTATTTCACAGAGCATTTTTGTATCACCACATGGTAAATGTAACACGGTAAGCCTTGAGAAGCATGATTATTTATTTTTATTATTTTTATGACTTCAAGTGCAAAAATGGCTCCCGACAGTCTTGGATTGGAACTAAGAAAGAAAATTATTGGCGATTTCGTAAGTGGAATGTCACAAAAAAGTATTTGTGATAAATATTGCGTGAAAAAATGGACTGTATCAAGACTATGTTCCAAATATCGTTCTACAGGGAAGTGGGCAGCAGATAACAAAGGTGGAAGACCGCATTCCACCACTTCTAGAGAGGATTCTATGATCGTCAGATCCGTCAAGAAGGATCCCTGGATATCATCAGTCGAGATACAAAAGCAATTAGAGCTGCCTGTATCGGACCGAACAATCAGACCACGTGCTGTTGAAACCGGATTGTTTTCTCAACGCCCTGCAAAGAAACTGCTGATTTCACTAAAGAACCAGAAGAAAAGACTCCTGTTTGCTACATCTCATATTGACTGGAATGTGCAGAAATGGCGAACTGTCTTGTTCAGTGAGGAATCGAAGCTCAACATCATTGAGAGCGATGGCATTTGCAGTGTACGTTGATGGGCCGGAAAATGCCTCGATTTACATTACTGCCATAAGACCGTCAAGCATGGTGGAGGCATCGTAATGGTCTTGAGGTGTTTTTCTGCTAACAGTCTAGGTCTAATACATCGAATCGATGGAATAATGGACCGTTTCATGTAAAAAATGTCCTGAAAGATGTTATGTTACTTCATGCTGAATGGAATATGCCAATAAAATGGGTTTTCCAGCAAGACAACGATCCGAAACACACTATAAAAGTAGTCAAGCAGTGGTTTCAAGTCAACCACCTTTGGTGATGGATTGGCCGCCTCAATCTCCGGATCTCAACCCTATTGAGAAGCTGTGGGAGATCATCAACCGCAGAATTAATCGTGAAGTGTTCGTAATAAGGATCAACAGTTTGAACAAATCCAAAAAGGCCTGGGCAGCGATTCCACAAAGTTTCATTGATCACCTGATCAAATCTATGCCTCAAAGATGCCAGGCTGTGATCAACAACAAAGGATTCACCACGAAATATTGATAGCGAAATACAGCTTGGTCGACATTTTGTGGAGTTGCACTTGTTTTGTCCAGAAGGACTCAACTTTTTTTTAATACTTTTGATTAATTTATTAATTTTCGTGTACAAATAATGAACTTTGTGATAAATAAAACTTGAAGAACGTTGTCTCTAAACAGTTACATAGTTATTTCTCTAAATTGAAAAAATGCAGCACTTTTATATAAAGAAACTAAATTAGCATTATTTGGTTGCACTTGTTTTGTCCAATACTGTATATATATATATATATATATATATATATATATATATATATATATATATATATATATATATATATATATATATATATATATATATATATATATATATATATATATATATATATATATACATATATATATATATATATATATATATATATATATATATATATATATATATATATATATATATATATATATATATATATATATATACACACACACACTATAGAGTATTTATGTAACAAATTGTTACCCTATTTTCCTTACATTAATATATACAGTGTTTTCAGAAAAAGAAGTAAAAAATGAATAATAATGAAAGAAAAAATTGCTGTCTTGTGCCAAACCCTCAGTTGGTGTAGTGGCACTCCCTTGCGGCAGCAGACTATATGATAGTCAATGTATGTATTGAAGCCTCTGGCAGCAGACTATTTCAGTATGGCGTCAGGGTGCTTATCTAAACACACATTCATAGTTTCATTCATATAAATCTATGCATTCATATATATATTTATATCTGTGTGCATGTTTGAAAAATATATATACATATTGTTTGGGCTGTCCACTGCTCTAATTTTTTTTTTCAGAACAATACAAATTAATGTTTTTTTCATTCAACTATCATGGTTCTCAAATAATTTTTACTTAATTTTATTAATTGCTCTAGAGTTGCTTGGGTTCATTTGACAGGTAATTGATATAATCCAAAAAAAAAAAGTGCTTAAAAAAACAATGCTGACCTGGGTCTCAAAAGAAGTAAAATTGTGTAAAACTTCGAAATTAAAGTTCATTTTATATTAAAAATGTCTTTAAAAAATTAAAAAACATAAAAAAATTTAAAGAAAAAAGGAAAAATTTTAAAATGATTTTAGTGGCCTAAAACTCAGCCTAATTTTGAAATTTCATAAATAGTAGATAATTACATTTTTGATTTTCAACTGACAATTTTTGATTTTTATATATACACCTAATTAAAACATGTGCTACTAATTTTCCAACTACTAAATGGTTGGCCTACTGTATTTTTGACCTACTGAGTATTCAACCTACTGCATTTAGAAGAAAAGATTAAAAAAAAAAAAGGTTTCTTGAAATGGGTGTTTTAGACCTTGTGTAATTCAATGTTTCTGATACATACATATCTTTCTTTTTAGATTAACACCCGATGGGCCTCGTATTCCGTTGCGGTTGTTTCTCTCAAATGAATCTGGGTATTCACTTGAGTTTCACACTTATAAAGAAGTGCTTGATCCAGATACAGGAATTCTAGTTTTTAAATCGTGGGGTGATAGACTAGGGGAGTATCATGGATTGCCAATTAACACACCTTATGTTACAAAAGATTATTTACAAGTATATTGGATTTTAAAGTGTATTTAATTTTTTACTAGTTTAACTGTATATTTTTCATTTTTCATTAGTTATAATTTTCTAGTACAAACGGTTTGCTGCTCAATCGCAAAACACCACTTATGTTTATGATTTTCCTGAACTATTTAAACAGGTATGTTTTTTAGATTTTGCATTATCTTCTTGTATTAAGAGTTTATTTTATAAAAGAGTTTAATTATATAATGTAAAATCAAAATTTTTTATTTATTTTTTTATTTTAATTTAAACTAAAAAAGTTTAATAGTTTTTTCTTGTTATATTAAAGGCTCTTTTAAGACAATGGAAATATTGGTCTGATAAATGTGGCATTGTATTTGATACCAAAAAAGAACTGGTAACTTTATTAAATTTATTTAAGTTGTAAGTTTTTGAGGTTTGAGGTTTGAGGTTTGCCCTTGGCATAAAATTTTGACCATTCAAACTGTTTCTTCGCATTTGTTCATCATTTCCATTTGTTCATCATTCAATCTGTTTCTTCGCATAACAACCTTATTTAATAAAGTTGATATTTTGGAGTTTAGGGTTAAGTGAGAGTTTCAAATTTAAAAAATAAATTGAGTTGCCTCCCTAACTCTAGAATTATTAACTCTAGACTCCTCTCTAATTTAAATTGAGTTGCCTCCTAAACTTTAGTATTATTAACTCTAATTTAAATTAAAAAAATATCATACTTTTAAAAAGTTTGTAGTTTTTGTATATTTTATATATTTTGTACAGTTTTTGTAGTATTTGTAGTTTTAAAGGCATATAACTTTTACAACTTATGTTTTACAGATGGAGGTCTCTGAATTGTGGCTCGATAATAATCAACAGCTGGTATCAATTAAACGTCTTCCTGGTGAAAACAATGTAAGATTTTTTTCTTAATTTCAGATAAATTTTGAGAAAATTAATAATACTTTAAATACTCATTTTTTGTATTTGGGAAATAAAAGTAGTTTTTGTGAAATCATAGAAATAAGTTTTAATTTTAAAGGATTTTTTCATATGTAATCTTTTTATCTAATGTAATACACAATATTTTATATAAGGAATGAAAATGTTATTTATATTTTTAAATTTCTTACAAAAATTTAAATCTTAAAGAAATATTCTAGAATTTTTTGTTTTTGTTTAGTGTGGTATTGTTGCATGGCTAATAAAACTTAATACTCCAGAGTACCCTGAAGGAAGGGAGGTTAGTTATGCTTGTTTCAAGGAATTATATTGTTATTAAACAAATACATTTTAGATATTTTGCTTATGTTAAGACAATAAAATGATACCAAGCGTTTGTACATTTTTATTTAAAGATATATCATTCCATATTCAAAAATGTATTGTGAAATATTAAGCTTTTTTTAAAATATATTTATTTTTTGATAAATTTAGTTTTTAGATATATTCATTTTTAGATATATTTATGTGCAAATGATATTACACACATGATTGGTTCTTTCTCTCCTACAGAAGATAATCTATATGATGTATACCATTATTTGTAGTATTTTTTTAATACAATTTTTTTAGTGTTCTACAAAATTTGATATAATATGATATATATGTATATATCATATTATATCAAATGGTATATACTATATATGATATATATATATATAAGTATATATATATATGTATATATACATATATGTGTGTGTGTGTGTGTGTCTGTGTGTGTGTGTGTGTGTGTGTGTGTGTGTGTGTGTGTGTGTGTGTGTGTGTGTGTGTGTGTGTGTGTGTGTGTGTGTAGATATAGATATATAAAATAGTACAAATAAAATGGTATATGCCTATATATATATCATATTATTTGTCTTTAGATAAATTTGATGAAATTTTTAAAGCAAATAAAAAAATAACTTTATCAAGTTTTTTCCAGAAGTATGGTAGACATTTTTTATCAGTCCAAAAGAGTCCAATAAACTACATCCTAAAACACCTTATCTCCATCTTAAGCAAAATCAATTTTAAAAAATTATGAAAAACATTTTATTCTATCTTTTGACATTATTATCCTTACTATTAAAATATTCTTGTAACTTTCTTTTCATTATTACTACAATTATCATCAGTACTTTTTGTTTGTTTCTTTTTCTTTTTTTTTTTAACATTTTATTTTATCACTTGCAAATTATGATTTCTACATGTTCGATATATGATCTATGTGTTTTAATCTATGTGTTTTAATCTATGATCTATGTGTTTTAATCTATGATCTGTGTGTTTTAATCTATGATCTATGTGTTTTAATCTATGATCTATGTGTTTTAATCTATGATCTATGTGTTTTAATCTATGTGTTTTAATCTATGATCTATGTGTTTTAATCTATGATCTATGTGTTTTAATCTATGATCTATGTGTTTTAATCTATGTGTTTTAATCTATGTGTTTTAATCTATGATCTATGTGTTTTAATCTATGATCTATGTGTTTTAATCTATGTGTTTTAATCTATGATCTATGTGTTTTAATCTATGTGTTTTAATCTATATGTTTTAATCTATGATCTATGTGTTTTAATCTATGTGTTTTAATCTATGATCTATGTGTTTTAATCTAATGTCTTGATCTTGATCCTCGTTTTTTTTTAAGATATGGATTAAAAAGTGCGCCTAAATGAAACAGTATTTTTTTTGTGGTTCTTTATTTTTTGAAATTTATCAATATAGCTTTTTTTAGTGACAATAAAATCATTCAAACACTGACTTTACTTTTCGATACTATCCTTGTAGAACACTTTATCTTTGGCCTCAAAATAGGCTACAGTTTTTGTAATGTCTTGTTTTTCTAATTTTCTTATCGTGGTACTTTTTGAGTTATGTGTAGAGGTGGTATTACCTCAGTTGGACTTCAAGAGCATTTAGTATTATCTATGTATGCAACCACTTTTAAAATCAACAAATTTTTGAATGGTGAATATTATGCCACGATCTTTACTGGCGTTGCTTATATAGCCAGAGTAGTCATTAAACCTTGATTCTGAGCGGCTAGCTGTAAGTTGGCTGCAGTAAGTCTTTGAAACATAATTACTATTTAAATGTAATACAGATATTTTGTTAGATGTGTCATCTAGTGGTTAAGCCCAGAACATACATTTTAATAAATATGGAAAAAAAGGTACATGATGTTTTCAAATTTTTAGGCTGTTTTAAAATTGGCAATTCAAAATAAAGTTCCTTTCATATACATTTCTGCTAATAGTGGAGCACGAATTGGCCTGGCTGAAGATATGAAACATATTTTTAAAGTAGCTTGGAATGATGAAACACATCCAGATAAAGTAGGTTATTTTATATCAATGTAAACTTTGTGCAGCTATAATTTTAAGAACTAATGACGTTTGTTTTTTTAATAAAAATTTGTTTACAAAGTCTAAAAAAAAATTTATTTTTATTTAAAGGGATTCAAATATCTTTATCTAACTCCATCAGAGTTTAAAGCTGTAAGTCTAGTTAATAATTAGATTGATTCTCATAGTTTATTGTTCATAAATATATTATTTGTTATTAATCTTCATTTAACAATAAAATTATTGAAGTTGACTAATATTTATCAATATAAATCATAACAGAATGTTGATTTGTCATATCATATGTTGATTTGTTATAAATCAAAATGATAGTTTACTGATCAATTATATTTAGTCAATATTTCTTTTTATATTTTAATGAGCTTTTAATAGTGTTTCAACCGTGGACAGGAAAGGCATGAGCCATCGCTCGGTATTCCTAACCACACAATTTTTTATTGCGGCAACTTGACCACAGCTTTTTAGATTTTTGAAAATGTTTCAAAAATGTGCTGAAATAAAGTATAAGCTAATAAGATGAGAAATTTCTTTTAATGATTGTATACTATAAAAAACATTATATTTGAATTATCGAAAGTTATTACATAGTTTAAAAGTGTATTTTTTAGTTTCATAAACAACAACAAATATTGTCTTCAATTAATTTTTCTAAAGAATACATCAAGTTAATATAGTCAAAAACATAACACATTTTTTTAAAAGAACATAAATGAATAAAATATATATTTTTTGGAAATTTTTTTAAGAAATTGGGGCCCTTATGTCAGGTGTTTCTTTTTTTTTGATGGGGAAGGGTCTGACCACTATATATATATATATATATATATATATATATATATATATATATATATATATATATATATATATATATATATATATATATATATATATATATATATATATATATATATATATAAAATGTTTAACAATCAGATTCCCAAGAAGAACTGAAATTATCATTGCTGCTGCTAACTAATAGATTATTTTTATGATTTAAGTATATAACTATGATAATACTGGGTGATAAACTCTCTATTTCTAACTCTTACAACCTTTATTTTTTAAAAATGCATGGGTTTTTTTCTTTGAAAAAAAGTTACGCTACTGCTTATTCCAATAGACTTTAAAAAAAAGCAATAAATAAATTTTTATGATTATTGTTAAACAAAATTAATAGATAAAATAGATAAAACTACTTCAAAAAAAAAACTTTCCAAATAAAAGTTCATATAAAAATATTCACACCTGAAACTCACACCAACCTCAGGGCTCACGTTATATATATATTATCACATTCAAGTGTGTAAATTAAGATATTTAAACTTTTGTTATATTAAAACATTTTTACTTTAAGCTTATTATTTGTACTCACATACATTTAAATGTGTACATTTGTACTCCCGTACATATCGCTTAAATATAGAATACTAATTATTTTAATTTATTCACTATTATATAATACTTTTTGATAATTTAAATAAAGTTTGTTTGCTAAAAGTTTTACATTTGTTGTTTATTTAGGTTGTTTTTTTTTTTTTTTTACATTTGTTGTTTATTTTCTTTTGAAGATTCCTTTCTATCTAATATAATAAATTAATAGTAATAAATCAATAATAAGAAAAATAAAACTACCTATACAAAAATCTTTAAAAATGGCTAAAAGGTTACATTCACAAAATTTTATCCTTGTTCATTTTCTATTTGAACTATTTAAATCAAGTTTGTTTACTTTTAAACAAACGTTATTAGTGCAAGATTCAAAATGTTATGCGCACTGCGATGGTTTAATTATTTGCAGTTTTGATATGTTTAAGGAACAGATAGTTATACGCTTGTTACTAAAACATTTGTGAACAATGGACTCAAAGTTTTATTTAGATATAATAAAATAAATTATTTTTTAAAATTACTTAAAAATTTAAAATCATTAAAAATTTTTGGCTTATTTTTTTTTCAACTAAAATTTTTTACTTCGTACCGAAAAAAGTGCAGAAACCAAATTTTCAGTATATGTTCTAATTGAAATTTCAACCGTAACAAAATTTCAGTTGGTCACTAGTTGTGTAGGATCTTTTCTGATCCACTGTGGAAGACACTGTAAGTGTCTGTAGGACACTGTGGAAGACACTGTAAGTGTCTGTAGGAAACTGTGGAAGACACTGTAAGTGTCTGTAGGAAACTGTGGAAGACACTGTAAGTGTCTGTAGGACACTGTGGAAGACACTGTAAGTGTCTGTAGGACACTGTGGAAGACACTGTAAGTAGGAGAAAAAAGAATAATGTTCTTTCTTATTTTTTATGTTTTTCTTTTTTCTTTATTGAAGCTGGATTCAAGCAACACAGTTAGAGCTGTGCCTGTAAAGTTAAATGAAGAATGCCAGTATCAAATAACAGATATAATAGGTCAAACCAATTTCCAATTTTTTTTTTTTTAATTTAAAAATAGTATACAAACAAGTTTTAAATATAAATTTTTTCTTTTTAGGTAAAGAAACAGGTATTGGTGTTGAAAACCTTAAAGGATCTGCTTTGATAGCTGGAAGGACTTCTGAAGCATATGAAAAAATAGTTACTCTGAATCTGGTTAGAGTTTTCTTAATTATTAATTATTGGTATTTTAATTCCCCTCCCCTACTTGTGTTTCTACCTCTCCCCCTACTCCTTTTTTAAAAAAATATGTTATTGAAAATTTTATGTCGATTAAGAACTACTTAAAAATGTAGGCTTGAATATCAATGGAAAGCACTCCAATTTTCAAATAAGTACCACTAAAAAGCTTAACATTTAAAATTTGAATATTTAACATTTAAAGATTTATAACGTCATATAAGATTATAAACTATTTATAGATAGATTTTAACAGTTACCAATAAGATATTTGTAAATGTAACTTATGTTCATAAATTTATTATGTCAAAAGAACTTTACACAATATTGAATTAATAAGAAACAAAAATTTTTAAATACCATAGTGAAAAAAATTATCCTTATTAAAAGCAGTTCTCTTTTTTTATTAAAAAAAAAAGTTTTTAATTTGCTTTTGCATATTATAGTCTATGATAATTTATGGTGGAGAGACTTATGTTTTATCTAATTAATTAGTTAGCAGATGATAAGAAAAAAAATTTAATAAAAATTGCAAAATTCTTTTACATTCCTTTAAAGTTAAGTTTTAAATAAAATGTATTTTATGTAAAATTTAACTCGCAATTTATTTATTTCATACATAAAATGTGAGCTGTGTAATGCTTTTTAACTAAACCTGTCAAGGTTTTTTTATTGATAAATTTAGTTATATTACTTTATCTCTAAATCCTTAAAATAAATTTGTAAAAAAATAAAATAGTATTTTTGTTTAAACAATACTAACTTTTTAGTTTTTATTTAGAAAGTATTTTTTTAAACGTTTATGCATTTACTTATGTTCTAATTAATAATAGAAAATGTGGAAAACAAACTTTGGCACTGTGACTTTCAATATATAGTTTTATTATTATTTTAAATAGTTAACTAAAAATACTTCTTTAATGCAATAAAGTTACTCTTGAGGGCAACTTTATTGCATTAAAGGAATATTTTTAGTTGTTCTTCACAAAATTTGGTTGCCTCGGTGTTAGAATGTTGACATTTTTCCTATTAGGTAACTTGTCGTACAGTTGGCATTGGATCTTATTTAGTACGCCTTGGTCAGCGTGTTATTCAAGTGGAAAATGCTTCAATAATTCTAACTGGTTATCAAGCTCTAAATAAAGTATATATTTTTTAAATTTAAGATTTTTTAAGTCTTTATTTATAATAAGTTAAGTTTATTATAATATGAAGTTTTGTAATCTTTATAATTTATGTCTTTTTTATAATTCTTGCTTTAATTTTTTTACAGTTGCTTGGTAGAAATGTTTATACATCAAATAATCAGCTCGGTGGAACACAGATTATGTACAAGAATGGTACAGTTTTGTGAATAATAAGCAAATGTTTAAATTATTTCAATTGTAGGTTATCAGAGATTATCCAGATGTAAAGCAAGTTGAGGTGTTAGATCACTAGCAGATGGATTTGTAACAAAATCAGTTTGATTTGAACTCCAATATCAGTTTAAAGAGACGGAGTTAAATCAGCACCCTTTAGTTAATAAAGAACTGCCTTGATGTGGGTAAATTGTGTTAATGATTAAGAGCATCAGTTGAGCACATGTAGGATATAACAAAAAAAATTTGCTATCATGGGTGTGCAAGTACTTATATATGAGCAAAGAGTTATAACCTGTGAATTTGTATGTTGTTACAAAAATACATAAATTTAAAAAAAATTATTCTGCTGCTACAAGTATTTGTTGGTCGTGGTGTCTCTCCCAAATTATAAGTGGCTCTTTTATAGATTACTGGGCAAAATGATGGACCTGTTTTATAAATTGGTAAGCTTTCCAAGTGTCAATTCAGGTCAGGTTTTCAATTTAATGTCAGGTCAGGTTATCCTGCTATTGGTAACATGTAACTCAGTACAACCTGCTTCATGTCCTGCTGCCTTGTAGGATACGCTTTTTTAGGCAAATGCTAGGAGAAGCCAACTCCAACTTAAAACACCCCTTGCCTTGGGACTCTTAATTGAGTAAACGCTAGGGATGGTGTCTTGATAAAAATACTCATCTTGGGCAGATGTTAAATGCATCCGGCCACTGTCTTGTAGAAAGCCTCCTAGGCAAAGACTTAAAGGGTAAACAGATTCTATCTGTTGACCAGCCTTACACATCTTCTTCATCTATTAGGCTGGCGCAGATGTATTTATAATACATTGTTTACAGTTTAGGATGTTAAATACTGAATCTTCTTGACTTAATGCATGGATTTTGCTTGTGTTTTTATGACTAACTCATTTTATTATCGCCTATTGAGGATACAGCTCTAAAACTCAGTTTTATGATTCTGAGGCCGGCTGATAGTCAGGTTTTCCAAACTCTGTGGTAGCTCTTAGAGAGGCTGATTCCATCAACAGCTGAAAAATATCAGAGTACTAATAGTACCGTGTTGCACATGGGTGGTGTCCCTGTTCGTACTTCTAGTGTGCATTGTTAAGGCCAAATTTGGAGCATTTTCTTACGGCTTAGGGTTTATTAATAGTAATGAAGCAAACACTTAATCTCTCATCTCGAATCTCATAACCTACTTTCTGATCATCAGTATGGATTTCGATTTTCTCGTTCTACGGCTGATTTGCTATCAGTAATAACCGATAGGTTTTATCGCGCATTAGATAAAGGTGGAGAGGTTAAGGCCATTGCTCTTGACATTTCTAAAGCGTTTGATAAAGTTTGCCATGCTGGTCTCCTCCATAAGCTTTCTTCTTATGGTGTATCTGGAAACATCTTTAAGATTATTGAATCCTTTCTTTCCAATAGTAGTATAAAGGTTGTCCTTGATGGACAGCACTCTTTTTCTTATTCTGTAACCTCAGGGGTTCCCCAAGGTTCAATCCTTGGCCCTATACTCATTTTAATTTACATTAACGATCTTCCAGATATTCTCACATCTAAGGTGGCATTGTTCGCTGATGATACTACAATTTATTCTTGTCACGATAAGAAGCCAACTCCCTCTGATTGCTTGCAGGGGGCATCTGAGCTCGAAAAGGATCTCACTTCTGCTACAGCATGGGGCTCGCAGTGGCTGGTGAACTTTAATTCAGATAAAACTCAATTTTTCTCGGCCAATCAATATCGCAATAATTTAGACCTTCCTATATTTATGAACGGTAATGTACTCGATGAGTCTCCTACCCTTCATCTTCTAGGATTAACTCTAACTTCTGATCTTTCTTGGAAACCTTATATCAAATCCGTTGCAAAATTAGCATCTGCTAAAGTTGCTTCTCTTTATCGAGCTCGTCACTTTCTTACTCTGGATTCTATTCTCTATCTCTATAAATCTCAAATCCGGCCTTGTATGGAATACTGTTGCCATATCTGGGGCGGATCTTCTAATGATGCCCTTTCTCTTTTAGACAAGGTGCAAAAACGCATTGTAAACATAGTTGGACCTGCTCTTGCAGCCAACCTTCAACCTCTGTCACATCGTCGTAATGTTGCTTCTTTTTCTCTTTTCTACAAATACTATAATGGGCACTGCTCTAAAGAGCTAGCGTCTCTTGTGCCATCTACTAAAATTCATTCTCGTGTTACTCGTCATTCAATTAAGTCTCATCCTTTTTCTGTTACTGTTCCTAAGTGCTCCAAAAACTCTTATTCGTCTAGTTTTTTTCCTCGAACATCAGTTCTTTGGAATTCGCTTCCTTTATCTTGCTTTCCTGATTCATATAATTTGGAATATTTTAAGTCGTCTGTCAATCGTTATCTTGCTCTACAATCTTCATCTTTTCTCTTCCAGTAACTTCAAACACTAATTAGTGGTTGCTTGCAACCTTGTTGGAAGCGAAGATAATTAAAAAAAAAAAAAAAAATTGCTTGGGCTATTAAATAGTGTGCTGAGTACTATCTATGCTTTGAGTCAAGTTCTTTAAAAAATTTAAAATGACTTAAGTACCAAAAACTTCAAAACACAAAAAACCATCGTCATCACCAAGTTCTCTAAACCTATCATTCACTAATATTCGTGGTCTTCTAAGTAACTTTTCTTCTGTTGAGTCTTATGTCTTGCAAATTTCACCAGACCTACTTGCTCTTTGTGAGACTAATTTGAGTTTAGCTGTCTCATCTTGTGAACTTTGTGTTGATGGTTGTCTTCCTTCAATTTGTAAGAATTCACCTATTTTTAGGAAAACTTACCTTCTTTACTCGACCTATGTCTTGTTTCTGATCCTAGTCAGTTTTCAGTTTCTCAGCATTCACCCTTAGGTGCTTCTGATCACAGTTTGATCTCTCTAAAACTATTATCTCATTCTTCTTCACCATCAGAATCCCCCTATCATTGTACCTCTTACAACTAACTTAAAGCTGACTGGAACTCTTTTCGTGATTTTCTTTGTGATGCCCCTTGGGTATCTTTTGTCTTCACTGACAAATGTGCTTCATGCATAACTTTGTGGATTCAGGCTGGCATTCCAGGTCAAGCCTCACTATTCTCCATGGTTTTCCCCACATTTTGCTGCTGCAATTTCCAATCAAAACTGTTACTTCCATATCTATCAGCTAAACAATTCTCTAGAAAACAGGCGTCTGTTTACTATTGCTAGAAACCATTGTAAAAAGGTTTTGTTTAATGCCAAAGCCTGCTATTCTCAGGTCACAAAATCTTGTATTTTATCTCAAAAATTAGGTTATCATGACTTTTGGAAAATCTTTAACAGTATCAATAATATGGGCAAATCTGTTATTCCACCTCTCTTGTATGGTTCAGACTTTGTCACCTCGCTCAAAGACAAAGCTGAATTGTTTGCTAAGAACTTTTCATCAATATCATTTTTTGATTCCAGTAGTTGCGTTTTACCTGATATAGCCGTCAAACAAGTTGATCCATTGCTTGACATTTGTATCACTCCAGCTTCTGTATCTATTTAATTATCTAAGTGATTTCATGCTTAGACTTATTTACAGTTTGTAACTCTGGAGCTGTCATCTATACTTTCAAAACTATTTAACAAGTGCTTATTGGACTCTCGTTTTCTAGCATGCTGGAAAGTGGTATCTGTTATCCCTCTTTTTAAAAGTTCTGGAGAGCGATCTGACTCATCTAACTACCGTCTCATTAGTCTTCTTCCTATCATAAGCAAGATTTTAGAGTCTTTAATTAACAAACACTTAATCTCTCATCTTGAAACTAATAATTTATTTTCTGATCATCAATATGGATTTTGATCTTCTTGTTCTACAGCTGATTTGCTAACAGTAAAAACCGATAGTTTTTATTGTATATTAGATAGAGGTGGAGAGGTTAAGGCTATCGCTCTCAACATTTCTAAAGCTTTTGATAAAGTTTGGCATGCTGGTCTTCTCCTTAAGCTTTCTTCTTACTGTGTATCTGGTAACATCTTTAAGATTATTGAA